GCAACGAATTTTATGAAATCACTAGCATCAATGTAGCTGTTTGAAGGATTTTTTTTATTATATTATAGGAAGGAAGTAGAGAGGTGAAAATATTTTTCTTTTTTTTAGAAAAATTGGAAGAATTCGATCGAAACATTGAAACATTTTTACATGAATCTGCAATAGATTGAAATTTCTACTTAAAATTTATTGTTGTTGTTTTTTTCTGTGTTATTAAACTTTGAAAAGTAAAAAATCGATAAAAATTTGATCAAACTAAATCAATTTTGTTTATAATCTTTAATAACCTCATTTCATTGTCCGGTCTTCGATTTATAAGTATAATATACAAAGTTTGGAATAATTTTTGAGAAATAGATTAAAAAAGATTATTTCTTAAACAATCTATCTCTTTCTTAAACAGATTCAAGAAAGATTAACGAAAACTTACATGAATATGAATATATACATCATAAAACGTATGATTTTCTTTCATTTTAAAGAAAAGAAAAATGATATAAAGGATGCAAAAGACATATATGATTATTTAAATAACGACTAACTTTCGAGTTGGGAAATAACCCAGTAAAGAAGCGAAAAAATACGAAAATGAAGAGGGGGATGAGGGGGGTGGGGATACGATGGATACGAGAATTTTACGATTGGACGATTTGATAAAGTTAATGCCATCTTAAGGGCAAACGGTTATTGCAACCTCTTAAAATCTTGATGATCGTTCTTACATTTTGGAACGATCATTTTACGTTCGTTCTACTTCTTTCGACTACCGTTTCGTTTCATAAAATAAAATGTGAAAATATTTTCTACACAATATATAATATATAATAAATTTTCTTATATAATTTTTTATATAATTTCTCTTTCTATCGAAATGAAACTCTATCTGATCACTCATTTTTTACATCGATAAATTCACCGTAACTGGAAGAAAACTCGATGAACAATAAAAAAAACGCAAAACCAAAAAAAAAAAAAAAACGTTTTTCTCTAACACTATCGTACACAATCAAAACTGGAAAAAAAAATCTAATCCAGCTTATCAGAAATTTTCACGTTACGACACGAACAATAAATTTTCCTGATAAAGTTGTGGATTAAACAAAAGATGCGAGC